ACTTAAAAACAGCATACTACAGTGACACAGCCACATCAATGTTTACAACAGCACAATTCACAATAGCTAAATTGTGGACTCAAACTAGATGCCCTTCAGTAAATGAATGGATAAAGAAAAAGTCATATATATATACACAATAGAATACTACTTACTCAGCATCAAGAGAATAAAATCATGGCATTTGCAGGTAAATGGATGGAGTTGAGAGAATATTATGYTAAGTAAGCCAACCCCAAAAAACCAAATGCCAAATGTTTTCTGATATGAGAATGCTGATCCATAATGGGGATGGGGCAGGCTAGTGTGGGARGAATGGAGGAACCTTAGATGGGGAAAGGGGAGGAAGGGGACATAAGGGTAAGAAAAAAGGTGGAATGAGATGGACATCATTACCCTAAGTATGAAGACACAAATGGGTGACTCTACTCTGTATACAACCATAGACATGAAAAATTGTGCTCTATATGTGTACTATGAATTGAAATGCATTCTGCTGTCATGTATAGCAATTTAGAATAACATTTTTTTAAAAGGGAATTAGGGCTGGAGTTGTGGCTCAGCCGCAGAGCGCTTGCTTTGCACATGTGAGGCACCGGGTTCAATCTTCAGCACCACATAAAAATAAGTATTGTGTCCATCTACAACTAAAATTTTTTTTTTAAAAAAAGAAATTAAATCTTGAATAGTAGATTAACTAGAAACTCTAAGGGCAATGTTAGGATTCATGTGAATTTGGGTGGAGGTGAATTCAGCTAATATAATTATCACCCTAACCAAAATGTAGTTGTACTAAAAACCCCATAATAAATCAAGGGAATGTAGATGGAATGCTTCAATGAAACCAAAATTACTTCAGTTTCATAGAAACCCCTTTGTGGTGTGTATCACCACGATTTTTTTTTTTTTTTGGTGTGTGTGTTGGAGATGGGCAATAGGGATTGAACCTAGGGCTTCTACCACTGAGCCACATCCCCACTCCCATCCCCCTATTTTTGCTTTCATATTACAGACTGGCAATTTCTGATGATTGGACAGCTTGCCAATATAACTACAAATACAGGAAACAAATTGTTGGTATCTACAGAAGACTAGTTAATGTTCCCCAATGTAAACTTTGAAAACATTCACCACTTACTTATCTTGTGCCATTGTCTCATGCTTTAAGGTGCCAGCCAGGACTCCAATGTACTAATTTTAAGTGATGATAGCAGGCCTTTCTCACATCAATCTCAGGAGAAATTTTCACTTTTTTCTGTACTGAGATGCTGGGAGATCAAACTCAGGAGCTTCTACATGCTAGGCCAGCACTGTACCATGAGCTACATCTCTAGCCTATAGGATATCTTTTAAAGAGATAATATGTATTAAGAAAGTTTTCTTCTATTCCTTCTTGTGTTGTGAATGGACTTGAAGTTTGTCAAATATTTTTTTCTGTACCAGTGCTCATATCATTAATAAGTCAATGTGCTAAATTACACTGATGACGAAGACTTCTGGTTTTGACCATACTGTTTTACCAATCTCATCAAAGACTGTTAAAACTTACCTAATGACTGGATACAGGAAACTTTATTCTCTGCAACTATACACCAATATATGGAATATATACACAAACATATAGATAACTGTACATATAAATTAGACTGGCTTTTAATTAAATTATTTCCATTGCAGGTATCACCATCTTCTCTGTTGGTGTGGCTTGGGCACCCCTGGATGACCTGAAAGATATGGCCTCTAAACCAAAGGAGTCACATGCTTTCTTCACAAGAGAGTTCACAGGATTAGAACCAATTGTTTCTGATATCATTAGAGGCATTTGTAGAGATTTCTTAGAATCCCAGCAATAATGGTGATATTTTGACAACTGAAAGAAAAAGTACAAGAGGATCTAATGTATAACTGTATTCCCAATAATGAAATATCACAGCATACTAGCATAGTATGTATACTATTATAGCATACTTGTATTAAATGTCAACAGCTGTTCTAAACAAATAAGCATCCTTTTAAAGCTATTACCTTCTGATTACAATTATTCAAAACACTTGGCTGACTCTTCATAACTATGGCCCTTAGAAACTCAGGAAGAGGAGATATGGATTAAAATCTCTAAAAAGTTTTAATGTTTATTAAATGTTTAGATATGTAAATGCCAAGTATCAAAAGAATGTGATACTTAGACCAAAAGCAACATTTCTTTTCTAATCATTTTCTATGAATTATATAAAGAAAATGAAAGAGAAACCAATAGAAACCAGCTTTTTAACATAGTTCAACTATTTGGATCCAGGTGGATATTTTCTTAAAACCAATCAACAATATAGATAGCTGTTCCTTCATACTAAAAAGTTACAATTATGGATTATACTGCAAGGAATTGTGTATCAAGCTTCTTTGTGTGTTTTCATAGTCACTTATGACTGAAAATATCACAATGAACAAGATAGCAGGATTGCTTGGTATTTTTCTATTTATATACTTAATTTTGTATGTATGGAGATACATTGACTTGTACTCTAAAAGACAGCAAAGCACTGAGAAAATAGTTGGCAAAAAAAATTTCAAACAACAAAACTGCAGGAAAAGTACTGTAGTTTGGATACTTAATAAAATTGCTAGTGACTTATTCTAAGCTGCTTTTTATTATTCCAAGCTTTTTTCCCTAAGATATGGTAAATAGTCTATATTTACTAATTTACATGGAAAGACCAATCTGAATTGTTTTTTAAATACATAGTATCCACAGTATCTGGGCCTGTGGGAGGCTGCATAAATTGAAGGCCTGGGCAACTTAGAGAAACCCTATCTAAAAACTGGGGGAAAAAAACAAAAAACTGGGGAATGTAGCTCAGTGGTAAGAGTACCTTTGAGTTCAATTCCTAGCACCACAAAAACAAAACAGAACACAAACAATGTGCAATGATACCAAGTATATATATTCTTTCATAATTATTTACTGAATGCCTACTGTTTTAGGCATTGCCAGATTAAGTAAGCACTATCACATGCTTCTGAGTAGTAGCTTCAACACAAATGTTTTGTAACTAGTGCTAGTTTGTTACGTTGATGCAAGAGGAGAATATCAAAATTAATGTATAGTAGCTCATCAGGGCTTTCCCTCATAGACAGAGGTGCTCAATCACCCCATCTTGGCTGTCTTCTCCAAAAATAGGTTCTGTTCCTCCTTGTGAACCCTATATCCACCCCCCTTCAAACAGATCCAGATTCCAACTGAAACTGTACAATCAAAGAGTTGACCTGAAAAAGGCTTTAATTGGCTGGAAAAATATATTCCAGTAAATTGAAATGGCAGAACTTGAATTACCTTTGACATTACACAAATGTTGGATAAAATGGAGGGAGGTTGAGATGACAATAACTTTGAGATGACAATAACTTCCTTCCTCTTCCTTTATAAAAAGCTGAAAATGATGGATTAATTTAACAATAATTTTATCATCATCAAAATTCAACTTAACATGGTTTTTCAACTAGTACATAGACCACAAATTCTCATCCTGGAGTACCCTTCCTTAATTAAAAATTAAGCTTCAGTGAAGCCACAGCTTCTAGTTATTCTTGTTTAAAGGTGTGTGTGTGTGTGTGTGTGTTAATTCTATAAAGGACAAAATTTTTAGTAATCAGGGAAGTGAATATTTTACTGAGGTAACAAGCAAGAGCAGAAATCAGAACTTTAAGCAACTATCAATTTCTCTGAGTAAACAATCAGGATAAAGGGTTAACAACTAAAAGGAGTAAAACATTTTAAAAAACATATTATAATTCAACTTCAGCAGGAATGTCTAAATTTCAAATATGCTAGCTCATTTACAACTTTTAATATTTTCAGTTTTCAGTGGATAACAGTTTTGAAATAAGAAAATACAAATATGAAAGAGGGTGAATATGATTAAATGACAAAGTCAACATATTGTTTGTATATAAAAATATCCTCAAACCTTATGTATRAAGTCCTACTTCATAACCTAATCTGTTATTTTCCATGTCACAAATAGCACACAAATAAAAGACAATTCTTTTTGCATCCCTTTAGTCTCTTTCAAATGTTTAATATTATAAAGAAACATAACYAAATTAGGTTAAGAGAAAAATAAACATATACTGATTTTATCCATTACAGTTTTAATACATTCCCAAAGAGGTGAATATTTATATATTGCAATGAAAATAACCACATTATAGTTAAAGCAGTAAAGCAATTGGTTGAAACAGCTGCCAGAAATAATACAAGCTTTGCAAAAACTTAAAAGAGATTAAAGAGGAGAGGGGGAGGGATGGGGAGGGAAAGGGAGAGGAGAGAGGAGAGAGGAGGCATTAGGCAGGAGGTGGTCAGGAGAAAAGTGCCCCTTTATTCATTGGTTGAATTTGTTCATAAGTTGAATGTTCAAGTTCAGAAAAAAATATTTTTTTCTAAAGGTTTTGAGAAGTCTAAGTGTTTCAGGATAAAAACTAAAATTTCTATCTGGAATTTCTCAATGCACACACAATGTAATTTAACATTTGCAGCAGGCATTCAAATAGATTTTACATGTAAATTTTCTAGTGTCCCCTTCTAAATCCATTTGTAGTTCCTTTCAAGTAAAAGAATTACCTTGTTGAAGGACTTAATCTCATTTATAAGAACAATTTTTAAGTAATGAATAATACAGTTTATTCTTTGCCAAATGTTTTTTGGTGAAACAAGTATAGCTAGATAGGACACCATCATTAATTGAAATTCAGATTAAATAAAGAACAGGATGTTTAAGTACATCATTTAAAACTGCATCTACTTTTTTTTGTTGTTGTTGTTACTTGGAATGGTCTAATTTCTTTTAATAGTTTTTATAAATCACCAAATAGATAGGGTGAAATACTTCAAAAAGAGTTAAGAGCATCACTGTTCTAATCTTAATTGAATACCAATGAGCAAAATAATGTATAAAAATAACAGCATAAAAATGAAGGACTAAGAAACCATCTCCATTTCCTAGTTTAATTATGGAGAGTATTGCACTTTATTATTCAACACAAAATGATGTAGCCAACAGTAACATACAGGTACACAATTTATATTTATTATATGCATTTTATATACATTATTTTTCAACAGCTGTACGTTTGCTTTGTGGTACAATCTTAAAAATTTGCTGATTCATAGTTTGTAAAACAAAAACCCTTACAAAACTCATCAAAACTTGCAAACTGATCGGAAAAGTTTTTTTTGGAAGACTAGAAAAAATACTTTATTGTCTTAATCATGCATTACACAAACAAAATCTTTAGGTACACCATAAAATTAAGCACATCTAAAAAAATAAAACAGGGAAAACTAGTCCCAACACAGCAGATTTCTGTTTCCTGATTGAACTACTTTGTATCCTATTTGTAATGCAAATAAAATTTTACTCCAAATATTTTTAAACAAGATAATTTTGTTTGGAATCATGGTAAACCAAGATATATATCTTGGGTGGGGGGACACCTTGTTTTGTAACATAAACTATAAAATATTCCATTTTTAGTCTATTTTAGACTATTCAAAGGAGTTCCAAAATAGATATACAGGTTTCTTTAGCACATTAATAAAAGGATATAAAGACCAACAAAAAGTGAAATAAATAATAGGCCATTAGCAAGATGGATAATCCTTGATAAATAAACTTGTAAATACAGTAAGATGTACAAAATATCACATAGTGATAGGATGCCAAGATTAGTTTTTTAAAGAGTTCCTTTGGAGTACTAAACCCCACTGTTTCATTTTAATACACTTAATAGTCCTTTGTTCATGAAGACATTTATGTAATGATGAAGGTGATTTAGCATCTTTATGSAAGGACTTAGCTGAGCTGTATTAGGCAAAAGGAGGAAAGAAAAGTGGTTAAGGGGGTGGCTGGTCAGTGAGATCTCAGTGTTTAGGGTTGTATAATGCAGAAAAACTTCAATACAATCTTGAGCACTGTTGTGACAGGCTAAATATATAAAAAGACTTATAAAAACTAGAATTTTATCCAAACATTTTGTGCAACTAATGCTAAAATATTTTAAGTTAAATTTTATTTTTCTTCTTTTTCTTTTTTTAAAGCAAAATAAGTTCAAAAGGGAATCTGTGGCATTCAACTGATAAACATAAGATCACTAAGAGATGGAAAAAAAGCTACTCTTGGAGCTCACTTTCCCCCACAAGAGCACCACATTCCTAACCCTAAGGCAGCACACAGAGTCCTTTAGGGGAAAAAAAAAAAAAGTCTTTGAAAGATCAGACTCCACATTGGCTTAGAGACACCTAAAAAACAGACATACGCTCAGTTCATATCCAGTACAGGCCACAAATACTGGAGTCCTTTTTCTTTATGTCCCACAAAATACAGTAATTACAATTAAATTAATGAGCCTGACATTAAGATGTGATTTCTACCAATTTATGCCTGCCCCAAATAGCCTTCACCAGGCAGAACACATGTAGTGTTATATCAATAACCTTTCTGATGGCAGTGATGGAGACCCTTTTTCTGTCCAAGCAAATCTTTTGTCATGATGTGAGTTTTTGTGGWTTCACACAAATACTTTGGCAAGGGCATCAGCTCCTGCACTTGCAATATATGCTTTTGATGGATGGAAAGCAACATCATAAATTGACTCATCCAATTTCTTCCTATGAGCTGTTATTTCTTGTACACATGTCTTGCTGTCTAAATTCCATAATCTAATGGAACAGTCATGGCCTGTAAAAGAACAATTATAGCTTGTTACTGAGTAACAATTCTTTTTATAAAATCTGTGAGTAGTACAGAAATTCAAGACTTACTTCCCGACATCAAATAGATTCCATTAGGATCTACTGCTAGACTTGTAACAGCATCCAAATGAGCTACCATAGAATGGATCATTTTACCTAAATAAAACATATCAAAGAAGATTAAGCTTTCAAAAAAAATACCAAAATTATAACAGCATCAGCATAAAATAACCGACTCCAGCACTTTTTATTGTACTAAAAGATATACAACATAAAATTTACCAGTTTAGCCATTTGAGAATGTCCAATTCAGTGGCTTTTAAAATAGTCACACTATGCAACCGTAACTACTGTCTAGTTTAGAACTTTTCACCACTGAAAAAGGAAATTCTGTATGTAACCACTAAGCAGCTCAATTCTCTAAACCCCTACCCTCCAAAACCTGGCAAAACTAACCTGCTCTTTCTAGAGACTGGCCTATTCTGGAAGCTTCACATAAACAGATATAATACATTCAAGGTACATCTATTATAATAATATTATTTTGAAGAGAATTTTAATTCTAATGTAGAACTTTCCAATGTATTTACTTTTTAAGAAGATTTCTGTATGACATGAATTTGACAGAATCTGAGAGACAATGGAAAACATGACAACAAAGTTGCAAAGACTTAAGTTCATGTTAACTAGATGGGCACTATGAAGCATGCCTATAATCCCAGCAACTCCAAAGGCGGAGGCAGAAGAGGGCTGCAAGTTGGAAGCCAGCCTCAGCAACTTAGCAGACCCTGTTTCAAAATGAAAAAGATAATAAAAAAGGCTGGGGATGTGGGTCAGTGGTTAAGCACCCCCAGTACCTTAAAAAAAAAACAATAACAAAGATCGTGTAAACTAAAATTCAAATTAGTTTCTCAGTACAGTGATATATTCCTACCCAAAGATCAAGTTTATTTATCCTTTGAAATGCTAATTATTTTGYACATTTAAAACAAGAAAGAAGGAAGGAATGAGGTATACCACAAGAAATTCCTCTGAATTTCCCCAGATAGTAACAAAACCACTGCTCTGGAAAATTTATTTTCACTAAATTTGGCAAGCAAATAGATTGAACAACAAGATGAAATTTAAAAAACAAATTGTGAATACAGAATTTTTGCTGCACAAAGACTCTGAGACAAGGACATCCTGCAATGGCAATATATGCTTTTACCTGATGGAAAGCAACATCATAAATTGATTTATCCAAGAAGAGGATAAAAAAGCAAATACTGATAAAAACAACAACAAAAAATTTATTCCCCTTTCACTCAGCAGGAAGTCTACTACTACCCAAGTGTCTGGGATTCTCCTAATGAAAGATAGGAGGTCTTTGCTAAAATTCTAATCATTTGCTATGCTGCTGGACCATTAGAACATTATACACTGGGGCATAAAAGCAGTCAACTTTGTTACTTGCCATCAGGCTATAACAGCGGAAAAGAACACAAAACCACAACATAATTGTGTAAAAATTTACTCTTAAAAAAAAAAAAAAAMAAMAACATAAAAAGCCTATAATTTTCTGGCAATACTAAACAGTTATCAGTCAAGGACTGTATTTAAAAAGTCTCTCATCATAAGCTGGGGTTGTGGCTCAGTTGTAAAGCGCTTGCCTTGCATGCGTGAGGCCCTGGGTTTGATCCTCAGTACAACATAAAAATAAATAAATAAAAATAAAGATACTGTGTCTATTTACAACTAAAAAATGAATTAAAAAAACTCATCATTTCAATCTACAGTTGTCTGTTTCTCATTAAYAGTAAGATTAATTAACAGTCTAATTTTAGAGATTGTGCTAGCCTGAGAAACAGAAAAATCATTTAACAGTATCTTCAATTTATTACACTAACATAATTCATCTGTCACCTTGTCTCAATATTACTATTAAAAAAATTGGCTTCTTATGTTTTGTTTTTTAAGAGTTAAAAAAAAAACAAACAGGGGCTGAGGTTGTGGCTCAGTGGCACAGTGCTTGCCTATCATGTGTGAGGCCCTGGGTTCGATATTCAGCACCACATAAAAATAAAGGCATTGTGTCCATCTATAACTAAAGATATATTAAAAAAAATAAACACAGGATATAATGGATTGGCCTCCAAGTCAACAATGTGAAAACATTAGCAGTATCAAGCATCATTAGATTCTCTTAAAATGTCATATTTATTATGGTAACTCTTAATTCACTGATCTAGTTCTGATTTCTCTCTTCAGAATGATCTTGTTTCTCTTAAATTTAACAACTTAAATCATAGACTTCTTTTATTCAACATTATAGATATATACATTTCTTAAAGGGAGCTATAATTTTCCAAATTTATCTCTAGACCTCCTTCTGGCATACTAAATTAATCCCCAATTGAGAGTCAACCTTCTTTTCCATATAGTCATTGTCATAAAATGTGAATAATGCCATCAGATGGACCATAGGAAGACATATTTAACCTTCATAAAAATGGTTCAAAGAATTATTTTTATAAGATGTTAAATTGAGAATATACACACAAATGTGAATTTTATTCCTGGCAATATATAGACCTGTGAATATTCACTCTGCTCCCAAACTGTTCTACTGAGTTAAAACGAATCTGCCTATAGAAATGTTATTTGAACTAAAGGATCTTATGCAAGACTCTAAATAGACAGAAACTTATTGCCCTGTCCTATATAACCTTCAAAGAGAAGCCTATACTTCTAGTTTGCTGACTGCCTTGATAATTTTTTTTTGCTCTGTAATAAGGTTGCAATGTTTCTTAATTTAAGTCCTTCAATACTTTGTTTTAGCTTTTCTCATAATAGCTTCTCTAGCTTTCAGACCTTTCCAGAAAGAGATTAAGCAGTATCTTATGTAGTATTCCTAGTAATAAGAGATGAAAAAGTAGTCCTTAAACACATCCACCCACCCACATATATACACACTGTAAGTAAAATAAGATTTGGTTTGACATCAAGACAACTAATATATTTCCTTACAACAAGAAAAATAGTTGACAAAAAAAAAAAATATCCATTATACCAGCATTTAATCCACTGATAAAGAACATATGTAAAATAATAAATACAAGAAAGAGATGTCTTCTGCTATAATTAATTCATAATAGAATATGAAGGAAAAAATTTCCAAGGATTTATATATTTATCTAAAAGGACATGAAAGAAATCATGATAGGAAAGGCAGTATGTATTATTTAAGGATAAAWTTTTAACATACTCAAGTGTGCTACATGCTAAGTAAAGCAGAACTCTTGAGTAAAAATAGTTGAGATAAGGGTTTAGCTCAGTGGAAGAGTGCTTGCCTAGCACACACTAACATCTCCAAAAAAACCCCCMAAAAACAAACAAACAAAAAAACCCAAAGTTTAACTTGGCAATTTCATAGTCAAAACTCAACATATAAAAGAACAGCATTTTCAATTACTTCAAATTTATAGTACTATTAATATGAAAAGATAACTTGCTTACCCGTTTTATTGTCAAAAAATTTGATGTGTCTATCTTCATGAGCCGTTATTGTAACAGGAAGTGTGGGATGACTTACTATTCTGTTAATATGATTAATGGATTGTAAACCTGAAAATAGAGACAAACAATATTTTAAAATTCCAGGCTTCAAACAGAAGTTGGATGATGGTCTTTTTTAAGTCTCACCAGAATGAATACTATTAGACTTCAAATTGTGTATGTACAAAAGAACTCTTAGATACTAAATTTAAAACATACATGGATTTTACCTGTGTAGTGGGGGGGAGAAATAATAGAGTTAAGGAGACACTGAGAATGAGTACAGCTTGGTTTAAAATGTGGCCATGGAACCATGTAAGTATATAATGATAAAAGCAATTGTTTCTTTTTTAAAAGCACTTACTAAGAAAATCGACTTAAGATTAAATAAATGATCTTAATTATCCAACTACGGTACAACCAGAAAGAAAGAATTAGTGGAAGAAATACTAAAGCACAGTAATCAGACTGTATATCGATAGCGGAATATGGTCCCTAGAGAACTAATCCTAAGGATAACTATTACCAGTAATCAAATTATTGGTGATGACAGTATTATTAGACAACTATAYGTAGGCTGTGAGATAAATCAAATGAGATGATGATGATTTTGTTGAGAACCAAGAAATTTGAATTGGAAGTATTTACTTTTGTAAAAAAACATGTTTCCTAGCTCTGTTCACCGAAAAAGATTAAAATAATGAACCTCATGAAGACCATGAGGATAAGCAAAGAGTTTTAGCACCCAGACTATAATCTTCTAAATGCCATTTCCCACTAAAAAGAACCATCGCTCCCTAGAAAAATACTGATCTCAGACATGAGTCACCAAACAAGATGAACCTAGAATCTTTCATTATATCAAAAAGCAAGAGCTATCAACAACAACCAGGCGCATATTCAGAAGACTCAAGAGCCAACCTGAATAAGCTCCCATTGGCCAAAAAGACATAATTTGAACAGCATTAAGAACACCTGTAAGAAACTGAAACATAACAAATACATTTATACCTGTGAGTTATCATAATGATACCAAAAACAATACCATTTCGTTATTATGAAAACTGGTAAATAAAATAGGGGAGAAACTCACTTTATCTTGCTTTTCTGTAACAATCACTAACTTCAAGATGATAACCAAATTATTGATGAGGAAATCATATTTTTTATAGAAATATTCTAGCTAATGCATGAGAAGAGATGACAGAATCACAAAATCATTTTTCAAGAATTAATGATTAAATGGATCAGGCAATGATCAAGACTAAAAACATCACAGAAAGATAAACCTCCAAATAATATTTACATCTGAAAAAGTTCACAAATTATCTGAAGTCTGGCCAAGAAAATTTCTAAACAGGTAAAAAAGAGAAACTAACAGAAAAACCCAAACCTGAACCTGAATCTGAATAAAACTCTGGATCTATAACCAATTTATAGGAAATAAAATGAATACTACAAATGATACCATAGGGTTGCAACCAGCAAAATCCATTCTGTGGGAAACCTGACAAAACTATCTAATTCCTTCTAGTAAAAAATTAATACAGCAAATAAGGAAAATATAAGAGAGGTAGAGGTACCTATAAGTGAAAAGACATCTGAAACCTATCAACCAATCACAATACATGGACCTTCTTTGAATCCCTACTTATAGAAACTGTAAAACATACATCACATACCACATTTACAGTACTGGCCATTTATAATAACTGAAATTAGATGACAAGTACATGAGGTTTTATTATATTCTCTACTTTCTATTTATTTCCTTTGTTTTCACCTTTACTTTACTCACTCCTCTGTAATAATGTAAATAAGTACTACAGTAACATAATAAAACTATTTTTCTATCATAAACCTAGGTAATCAAAATATTAAAACTAACTGAAAGATTAACCTCTTGGATAAAAATCCTTTCTAAGGTTTCAAAGAAAGTCACGAAAACTTACCAGAATCTACCTGTGATGAAAGCATCACCAATGACTGTGATGTTTCTAAATCATAAATTACTGCACTACCAGTGTTGAAAGAGGTCACCATATGAGCTGGATCACAGCCAATAAAGTCAACAGATGTAGGTATTCCATGTTCTGTAAAGAAGCCCCAAAAGATATAAAGTAACAGTATTTTTGAAATTCCCACTTTTCTAATAAGAAAAAGGAATTAAAATATTTTGAAGAAATGTTAATAATGAAAGTTAACTGTGTAAGAATAGTTAAAAAGCAACCATTCCTCATTCATTTAACAGGCCTATCTATTTATTTATTTACTTATTTATTTATAGGAGGCACTGAGGATTGAACCCAGTGCTTCACACTTGCTAGCCAAGCACTCTACCACTTAGCCACAATCCCAGCCCTATTTAATAAGTTTTTATTTATAACATTCAACATTATAAGAAAAAACACACCTAAAGAACAGGCATATGCAAAAATTAGCAGTTTCTTATGCATTTCCTTCTAAGGTAGGAAGGCTAAGTTTTTGGTCCACTTTCTAATTTTCTTAGGGAAAAACAAAATTGGTATTTTTTTGATCATTATCTTGGGTCACCTGTCAAATCTGTAAGCCTTAAAAAAGTAGCTAATACAAGTCAAATTTTTCTGCCTATAAAAATGAAGCTTGGACTCTGGAAGACACTGACATGATAGTAGTATTCTAATGTAGTATCCTGAGCAGCAATCTTTCTCTCTCTCTCTTTTTTAAAATATTTTTTAGTTGTAGCTGGTACAATATCTTTGTTTATTTATTTTTATGTGGTGCTGAGGATCGAATCCAAAATACCTCACATGTGCAAGGAAAGTGCCCTACCACTGAGCTACAGCCCCAGCCTGGCAATTTCTCCTTTTAACATACAAAATTCATCTAGCCATATCAACATCCAATTTGGTAAAACCGGAGTCTAGCCATCAATTATGTGAATGAAGCAAGAAACAAATAACTAAATTAACTTTTACCTGTAAAGCCTGAGTAACTGAAAAACTAGGAGAACCATATAAAAAAGACTCAAAGGGCTAGGGCTGTAGCTCAGTGGTAGAGTGCTTGCCTAGCATGTGAGGCACTGGGTTCAATTCTCAGCACCGCATGTAAATAAATTAATAAATAAAGTCCATCAACAATTAAAAAAAAGATGCAAAATTAAATATATTTACTATTCATCTAAGATGTTCTGAAATTATATTTAAACAAAAGGTCTGATTAAAAAAAAAACACACCAAAATTTAAAAATGGCTCAGAAAATAAGACCAATAAAAACATATTCTCTCTCTCTTTCTCCCATATACACACACACATATACACATAAGCAAATGTCTTTTTAAAAAAATTATTTTTTAGTTGTAGTTGGACACAATACCTTTGTTTTATTTATTTATCTTTATGTAGTGCTGAGGATCGAACCCAGAGTCTCATGTGTGCTAGGCGAGTGCTCTACCACTGAGCCACAACCCCAGCCCACACATAAGCAAATGTCTTTAAAAGGTACTGGCTAAAGCCTTATTTTTTTTTATATATTTTTTTTGTTGTCAATGGATCTTTTTATTTATATGTAGCACTGAGAATTGAACCCAGTGCCTCACATGTTAGGCAAGCGCTCTATCAACATACAAATCCAGCCCTAAAACCTTCTTTAATAAGAAAAAAATCTGGTATCATGAAAGCAACTTAATTTGTACCTCTGGTTAAAGGTACTATTTCAGTGATTATGGCTGGACTCATAACCTGTGTGCTCAGAGTCATGGGCAAGCACTCCATTGCCAAGCTATATCCCTAGTCCCATTTAATTTTAAAACAGAACATGATCTGAAAGAAGTAAAAAAGCACTAAGCTACAATTCATATTTGTAAATCACATCAATTAAAAAATAATCAAGTAAAAAGATTATCCTAAGTTTTATGAAATTCTTCTAACATCTCTCTTTGGGGAAATACAGAAATAATCAATCAATTGCTTTGTCCTTTTTATATCACAATTTCCTGCTCCCATCCCTGCCCTTCCCTGGTAGTGGGGATTGAACCCAGAGACCTTCTATCATTGAACCACATACATCTCAGCCCTTTTTATTTTGTTTTAGACAGACAAAATTTACTCACCCTTGTCTCCATTGTAAGTGCAAATACATGGCAATTTTTCTTGTGGATTCCATAACCTAACAGTGCCATCTGCTGAACAAGACAGTAACTGATTTTTTATGCCACTATAAGCAAGACCCCAGACTGCATCTGTATGAGCAACTAAAGTGCCAGCTAGAACATTTGGCTCTGGGAAGAAAGAAACAAAACAAAATTAGCAAAGTAAGGTTATGATCTAAAGATAGCTTACCATATAATTAAATAAAAAGAATACAATAAAGGCTACAAAAAAGATAAACCAAATATACAAGGGACTAAGTAGTAGAGTTAAGAGCTATTTTTATCATCCTCCCCCAAACTACTATTCTGTATTTTCACAATTTCCTATAAGAAATAAATACTTGGAGAAGAAATAAAACCTCTTTATTGAGATATAATTTGCATACCCTACAACTCATTTATTTAAAGTATAAGTCAATCCAAAGATCTTTAGTATATTCAAAGTTGTACAACCATCACAATCAATTTTAGGACACTTTCATTACTTGTTGGCTACTTTCCCCAAATTCTTCCTCCCTACCTTTCCATGGCTCTAGGCAACAACTAGTCTACTCATCTCTAAAGATATGCCTATTCTGAACATTTTACATCAATAGAATCATACAACACATGACCTTTTGTGACTAGCTTCACTGAACATGTTTTCAAGGCTCAATYATGTTGTAACTTGTATCAGTACGTTTCTTTTTATTGCCAAATAAAATTCTATTGTAGGATGTTAATAGGCAAGAGATAGAAGTGAACGGCAGAAACATGAGACTAAGGCAATAATTCTATAAACTAGGTTTACTGTGCTAACCCCCACATGCTTTCCTTTAAAAAGCAATTTACCTGTGGCCCTGTCCTGGCTTAAGTCAATAGGACATGTTACATTCCTCAGGAAACAACCTGTTATCAGCAGGAGAAATGCAGGCCCAAAAGGTTCCTCCCTGCCGATAAGAAGAACACAAGTTATCCTGAATGGGGGAGCCTTCATGACCTTTATGCAGACCAGATTCCAGAACTCATGGAGATAGGATAATTAGAAGAAAAGTCCAACAATAAAATTTGTAAGAATGAGTTTCAACAAGAACTGGTCAGTGTGGTCCAAAGCAACCCAGGGTTGCCTTGGATCTTAGCACATAATCCTAATAGTAAAATCTCCCCTCCATGGGGTAAGACCATGCACAGTGGGTTTTTAAAAAATCTGCTGTAAGATGTCTGAGTGGGACTCTCTGGAAATTTCCCTGGGACCCCCAATAAAAGAGGGCAATACGTCGGGCGTGGAGGTGCAYGCCTGTAATCCCAATGACTTGGGAGGTTGAGGCAGGAGGATCGAGAGTCCAGCCTGAGCAATGGGGAGGCACTAAGCAACTCAGAGAGACCATCTCTAAATAAAATACAAAAAAGGGCTGGAGATGTGGCCCAGTGGTCGAGTGCCCCCGAGTTCAATCCTTGGTACCAAAAAAAAAAAAAAAAAAAAAAAAAGGGCAATAGGGACATGCTGTCCCTATCCTCTCCCACTCTCTTCCTTAATAGTGTTCCCTTTTCCTGTCCCTTCTAATAAACTCAGGTCTACTACTCTTGAGTGACTCCTCTGAAATCTTCCTGGCATGATCCTAAGAACCAGTGACTAAGGACATCCTCAGTCACTTTGGCTGTATGGATGGCCTTACAATGCAATAGATTTTATCACGTTTTAATTACCCATTCATCAATTGATGGATATTTGAGGGCTAATAACATTGAGCATCATACCTAACAATCCTGTTTTTCTAGTAAATCTCTCCTACTTTCCATAATTATTCATCATCATTTCCCTACTCCTCACTGCTTCCAAATTCCCTTCTTTGTGAATGATTGTGCCTTATACTGAACCAAGAAGATATAGGCTTTAAATAGGAAGCCTTTCCTCATTTTCCTGCCACCCAATCTATAATCTACTAGTACTGTAAGCTATCCTCTTGGTTATTCTCCTTTCTATTAAACCCACCAGATGTATTCTGCATCTCAGTCAATTTGCTAACTTATTTTCATATTTTCTGATTCTGTACTATACAAATTCTCATTACCATTTAAAAAAAAAAAAGTATGTTCCAGGRTGCTAACCTAGCACCTGTGAGGCCCTGGGTTCAATCCTCAGCAGCATATAAAAACAAATAAATAAAATAAAGGTATTGTGTCCAACTACCAAAAASAGAAAGTACGTTCCAGAATCTTTCAACCTGAATAAAAAAATTATTAACCTTACTCCACCACTCTTCTGCTAAATAGTAAAAAAGCATCTGAAGTAAATATGCTTCTTTTCCTATTTACTATTCAAATTACTCCAACATGGTGTCTGATGCCATTAGCACACACCAAAAATCATCTTGCTTAAGTTATCAATGATGAGCTAGGTGCACTGGTGCATGCCTGTAATCCCAGGGACTCAGTAGGCTAAAGCAGGAAGAGCACATGTTTAAAGCCAGCCTGGGAAATTTAGTGAGAAACTTTGTCTCAAAATAAAATTAAATTTAAAAGGTGGGGAGGGGTTAGAGATGTTACTTGATGGTGGAACATCCTTGGGATAAACCCCAGCTGTGGGGGGAGGGAATCAATGATAACCTCTACTATACAAAATTTGATACTTTCCTTTGATGATATATAAAGCATTTCTTCTTTGTTGTTCCCATCATATTGCTTTTCATCCATTTAGTATGACTTGAAAGGGTATCAAGAGTTCCTTCATCCTCTTATCTTAGCTACAGTGACAAATCTCTATCTGGGAAAGACACGAGTGACCTATGTGTCACTTTTATATAAAAAGAATCCTTTTTATCCTATTCATATGCAACATCTGAATGTGCAGGCTGCTTCCTTCTAAAAATGTTTTCTCCTTTGGGGATGCTTCTATGATTCCACACTCTCACACTTCCTCCTGTCTATTGAATTACTTATCTTCTCAATTTCCTTTGTTGGTTCTCTTGCTCTAGCCATCCTTTCCATGTTGGGATTACCGTGAAGATTTTAATTTCAAGTTGTTTTCTCTTCTTACTCTTTACGACACATTCTCCTTATGTTATACCATCCATTCTCACAGCTTAAAAGTATCATTTATATAGAAAGGACTTCCCTATATTTTTATCTTCAACCCAGATCTCTGAGCTCTATATTTGCATATTACCTACTTGATACTGTCTCTTAACATGCCCCAAATCCAACTCATTGTCTCCCTACACTTGTTCTTTCCCTATTTCAATAAATGCTACCATCACATACTCAAGATGCTCATGCTGAAATCCCAGTGCTAGAGATGAAAATGTTCTGAAATTAGATAATGGTAATGGCTGCACAACTCTGTGTACATAGTAAAAATTACTGAATTATATATTTTTAAAAGATGAAATTTATTGTATGAATTATATTTCAATAAAGTTGGGAATTAAGAAAACACAATTAAATCAAGTCATTCACTTGTCACTTCATCTACTCATATTCATCACAAAGTCCTATCTATTCTACTCCACTTCTCCCATATATATTAAATACACTTCTCTCTAACTGCTGTACCACCACCACTCTTGACATCATCTCCCATCTAGTCTACATTACAGCAGCTTCCTACAGTACTCCTGTCTCTACTCTCCGGCCCTTAATGTACTCTTCTCTCCATAAGAGACACACAGTACAGTCACGATTTTTTTTTTTTAAGTTGTTGATAGATTTTTATTTCATTTATATGTGGTGCCAAGAACTGAACACAGTGCCTCACATACGCCAGGCAAGTGCACTATCACTGAGCCACAGCTCCAGCAACACAGCCACCTATTTATACACTACATTTTTCAGGTCATTTTTTTGGCCTAAAATGTTTTACAGAAATTCTGTTATCTTTTATCTTTCAGCTTGAATGTTACTATTTTAATTAGAATATTCCTGACTTCTCACCTAAAGAAGGTTCCACCTGTTACCTTTCTCATGGTACTCTATTTTCTTATTACTCACCACAATTTGTAAGTAGTGACCCCCAAACCCTTGCTCATTTAATGTCCATCTTTTCCATTAGGCTAACTGTTATTTCTGGACAAAGTGCTAATAATGACTATGCCTGACAAATAGTGGCACCAAGTGTGTTAATTAAAAAAGAGCTCAAAATTGTTTCATTTTTTAATAATAATGAAACATGCACTAATAAATATATTTAAACATATATTCAGGTTTTTCTGTAGAACAGATTTCTAAAAGTGTCACTTGTAGAAGTTAAAGTTTTCTTTAGTGTTCTTTCATTTTCAAATTAAGAATATTTGGCCCTCCAATGAGTTGTGTCGATTTATATCCTCACTGTCCCTATTTGTTTTAATATTTAAAAATATGTACACTAAATTTAAATATTTGCTAAATTATATTGTTTTCCACCCCATTACATTAACTAGTACTGAAATTAACATTTCAATTAACAGAGACTTTTAAAAAATACCAGAAAATGCCAATTCATAGGCTTAGGTATGCATGGCATAACATTTTTTGATTTTTTTAATAAAGCACTTACTAGCAAATGGAAAAATTAAATGAAGGAACCAATATATGTTTAAATAACTTTAATAATATTTGAGTTATTTACTTTTGACAGCTTTTACTTACCATATGTATCATATGGATCCACATTAGGACTAGGCATATTCCACCACTGGATGGTTGCGTCAATACCACCACTAAAACACTGTTCTCCATTAGAACTAATAGCTAATGACAGAACAGGGCCACTATTATAGGAAGAGAGTGAAAAAAATTACTTACAAATCCCAAGAAATTCAATCCCCATTCCCAAATCTGTGATTTACAAGGTATTTAAAAACTGTTTAAAGTAAACATGTATATTTAAATGAACTAACATAATTCATATTCTCACTAATGTTAGTAAAATGAGATATTATGTAACTGTCTTACCTAATAGCAAACATTGAGAAAATTATAAAGTTTGAAGATTGGTAGATTGGTAAATAACAGTTACTAACTATGGTTATTAATTAAGTACTAGTTGAGTAAAACTTACATGTGGGCCCTAAATGTGTAGATAGGCTCTACATCTAAAGAGGCACTCCTAAAAGATGGAGAAAAAAAGGATGGGGGAAGAGAAAGCAATTAAATAACCATTAAACTAAAGAATCATTAGGAAGATCAAATGCACATATAAAAAATAAGATACAATAAAGAAGTATAATCAAATTATTCATATTAGCAAAATTGGAAGGAAAAAACCCAGCCATTATTAAAATACTTGCTTTTTGGCAGGAACTGTTTTTTGCAAGTTCCAAAGTTTCAGGGTATGGTCCTCAGAGGCAGTAACCAGCACAGGTTCAACAGGATGAAAAGCTAATGCCCGCACTCCATCAAAATGGCTACGTAGTGTATACTTGGGGTTCCATGTCTTTCGAAAGGCATCTTTATTGGCAGGCAACTAAAAAGGAAAAGCACACTATTTACTGGTAAAAGTAGTAAACTGATAGGCATGTGGAGTTTTTGTTCCTTTTGTGTTTAAAAACATATATTTAAAATAGCTTGGCTAAAATGTCCAGTGGAAATTTAATGTATTAAAAACTTTATAACAAATCTTTATCATTTTATAAGGATTCAGAAGAATAATTTCATTAGCCTTTCAAATATGTAGGTCAAATGAAGAGTTCCTTAATCTGTTTTTACCTAATCATCAAACTAAACCCAAAGCTCGTAATAAATGTTGAAGAGAATAAAATAACTCATTGCTGCAATGCTTTACATAAGTACAAAACAAAATGTAACAAATATATATATATATATATATATATGTATATACACACACACACACACATATATAAATTAGCAAATATCCAAGGGCAAACAGTACAGTTGTCATTTAGGAAATTACTAGCATGTGAAGTTTTTAAAGGCAGCAAGTTAAGGTACTTTCTAGAAACTGAGCTAAGGACCTGTTAATATTTTCAAACCATTTGTCTAATTCTTGATTATGACAGAGGTTAATCTTTTAACTTTTAYTTCTTCATCTGTAAAGATAAGCTGTGAAACCACTTCTAAAGCAGTAAAGTTTACTATAATTTAGCTGCATATATACTTTAAAAATATTAATGAGAATAATTAAGCCTACCAAGGCTCATGTCTCTAAAAAGCACACTAAATAAATATAAAATRTAAAAGCCAGGCGCAGTGGCGTACACCTGTAATCCCAGCAGCTCAGGAAGCTGAGGCAGGAGGATCACAAGTTCAAAGCCAGCCTCAGCAACTTAGCGAGACCCCTGTCTCCAAATAAAAGTCAAAAGGGATGGGGATGTGGCTCAATGGTTAAGCACCCCTGCAGGGGAAAAAGGCAGAAAAAAGATATGCCGTAAAAGTAAAAAACTAATCTGCTGAAAAACCATAATAATATAAAAATCTAAACAAGTATAGTTAACTCTCAATTGGATATTAAATGTCTAGAAAAAATTTATTTCAAAATTTAAGAAAATTTATTTCACCTCTTATGCTGTCCTTCCCACTCCTCCTGAATGCTCTACCTAGCCCTCAAATGGAATTAAATACTTAGAAAATGATGCAAGCCAACTTTAACATTATCCTTAAGCAGATTAAACCTCAAAAATAAAACATTTTTTATTTTAAGAAGTAACCTGAAGGCAAAATAGGCTTAATTTCTGTAAGATAATTGAGAATAGACTATTCAAGATATGTTTGCTGACCAATATTTTAAGGTAATCATCCAAACACCTAGCTAATCCAACAAAATACCTAAGAAAAATTTAAACACCACGAAGAAAGTTAGAAAACTATATGTCACTTCAAATCAACACATTGACACACTTAAAACTTATCTTTTCCATGCACCTTGACATTAATTCTGCTTTATAAGTGATTCCAAAAAATAAGGAAGCCTTCTATTAAATCATTAAAAAAATTAAAAATAAAACTGCACTTACATCATAACTATAGTCTGCATCATTTGTTACCGTCAAGTCTGCAAGGTCTCCAAGGCCCAGTACACTTAACAAAACATCATCAGAACCCATAATAAATGACTTGCCTCCTCCAGATGGAAACGTTATTGGTTCAGCTATAAAGAACAAAACCGCTTCTTAAATGCTGAAAAATCATACAGTACAAGACAAATATTGTGGGGGAAATTTAAGCACTAAACAGTTACATAATTCAGTAATATTTATGAATTTCTATTTTCCCACTTCCACTCAAAAAATCCTATTACTAGTAATAAACACATGTGTTGAAACTGCAATGTAGTTATCCTCTACATATCAAATATGCACTACGGACACTATTCCAGGGTGGGAGGTAGGGCACAAAAGTTTTGTCTATTCAAATCCCATATCACTTCAGTAAAGTTTATATAAGAAATAGAAAAATTTTTGATTAAGTAAAGGAGTTAAATATCAGATTTCAGCTATTCATAGGAGAATAAACCTCTACCATCAACTTCAAAGTAGCTTATACAGTATTTTTAAAAAGTGAACAAGCTGCTGCTAAGTCCTTTTCTTTCTAAAGATTAAAAAAAAAATCTTTTTAAATCTAAAGATTAAAAACAAAGCATTCAAATGTGAATGGTTTCCAGTATGCTATGACAGTATATCAGTGACAACAATGGCCTAGGAAAAAGGTACCTCTACTGCTAAGTCTCCTATAAGGTTAATTCTTGTGTTCTTCAGAATGCCCTCCAGTTTTAAAACTGTGACTACAATTTTTATTTTAATGTCCTCTTTTATTTATCATGACACTTTTAAAATGACACAATTGAAGTATAATGAGTATAAAACTTTACATTTTTCATTCAGAATGGCCATTTCAATTTCAAATATAACTGAAATGAAAGCTTCATTTTGCTTAGTTTCCTCATCTGTATCATGTACATCATTACAGTTTCCCATGTTGATATTAGAAGTTCCAATTAAATTATTTAAAATATTTTCCTCTATACATACTATTGATCAATTAAACTACTAGAATTTGAATGACTGACTATACTATTGCTGTGACAGTTTGTGTAAGCRATAATTTTATCACTTCAAACATGTGCTTTAAAAGCAAAATGTTAACATTAAGATGGCAAGAAAAATACTGGAGTAATTATAATACAAAACAACATATCAAAATACACTTAAAATTCATGAACAAATTGGGGAAAAAGGCATTCAAAAGCTCAAGCTGATAATTTTTAAAAATTCCTATGAAAAATGATATATTAAAACAAGCATTCACTAATACTATTGAAAATAATTCTGAGAATATACAATATATACACACATACACTATGGCCATAGTAAAACTTATCTTTATTTAGAATACTTTGTGGGTTGTTTTTGTTTTCTTGGGGGGGGGGGCGGGGAGTACTGGGCACTGAACTCAGGGGCACTCGACCACCGAGCCACATCCCCAGCCCTATTTTGTATTTTATTTAGAGACAGGGTCTCACTGAGTTGCTTAGCGCCTCACCACTGCTGAGGCTAATTTTGAACTTCATCCTCCTGCCTCAGCCTCCTAAGCCACTGAGATTACAGGCATGTGCCACCACTCCCAGCTATATGTTGTTATTTTTATCCTATTAAACTATGCTATGCATRTAAAGTGAATTTGAAAGCACTGCCAGAAAATATATATAATGGGGACACTAGATAGTATTTAATTCATCTTTTAATGACTATACTTGCTGAACCTGAACAAGCTGTAGCACTGATCTTTTCATTTCTACTGTTCACTTATTGGTAATACCAGAAATAACTAAGAGCTTTAAAATCAAGTTTAAAATTATGTTTAAGAACAATTTTATCAGTCAGTAAGTAAAATTTACTCTAAAGCATCTTTTGCCAGTACAAAGATAATTTGTTTCTAAGTTAAAATGCTATTCCTTCCACTTACATTCACTAACACAAAACTTAAAAGCTCAATTAAACAACTTAAATATAACATATTATTTTTGCAGGATTATTTCTGATCAACCATTGACTACTTTAGGGGTATGTGAAAGAAAGTACTTTGACAATATTAACTAGTTGGCAATATTAGCTTGTTTTACTGGAGTTTTAGATTAACCACATTTACCAAAAAGTATTATACTTATTTGTAATTAATCATGTAACTATATTTCTATCCCTTTTTCTATGCACACATATTTATTTGTATTAAGCAAGCCATTCCTCTTACTCAGCATTTATTTACATATATATCTGGGTGCACAAAAAAATATCACCTAAGCTATTATTTTTATTTTCAATATCACCCATCACTGTGGCACATGGTAATCACAGTAAATACTCAATTTGTTTGTCCTTGTTTCCCTGCCAACGAAGCTAATTTCCATTCTACAAATTCATCTTATTAATGTTAATATAATTACCCATGGTACGTGTGTACATAAGCATAAAATGTCATCAGCAATTCAAATAAAAAAATTTAAAAGTTTTTAATTCAATGATAGGAATGGTCATTATTTATTATTATTCTTCTTTTTGAAGGGAAACTCTTCCTTTCTCTTCAAATCTTATCAAATTTAAAGAACAGAGCCCCCAAAAGAATTTCCACTTATGTCAGTGGCAACACGGTATATTTTAAAGTCTTTACTAACAATAGCTTGAAAGGTTGTAACTTGTTCTTTAAAAATTGAGGTATAACAAGGAACTAAAAAGGAAAACAAGAAAGGATTTGCCACTGAAATAAGACTACAAACTCAAAGTTAAAATCAAATGTCTCTAACAAATTTTAATAAGGTTTACCTTCCCCTTGCCTTCCTCCTACCACTACGAAAGATATTACTGACTTACATTTTTCTTTAAAACACACCACACACACACCACACACACACACACACTACACAGAGGCAGCTCTAAATTGATTTTTATGTAGTGGTAAGACTTGACTGGCTTTTTTATGTTAAGTCACTAGTCTGAAACATTTAAAAGGATCTATACTCCTGCTAATATGGCTTTGTCTTAACTGCACAATCTGAAGTTTAGAATGTATATTAATTATAAAAATTCTAACAAATGTACCATGCATTATTTGGTTAAAAAACAAACAAACAAACAGGGCTGGGGCTATAGCTCAGTGGCAGAGAGCTTGCCTAGCATGCGTGAGGCACAGCACCACATAAAAATAAAAACAAATAAAATAAAGGCATTCTGTCTGCACATAATAGAGTTGGTATGTGCATTTTAGAAAATGGAAGAAATTACTTCCCAAAGCAAAATAAGAATAATTCAATAGTAGAAACAAGATCACAAAAATCAACAAACGATGTGACTTTTCATTCCTTTTGCTTTTATTATAATAAAATAATTAGTATATTTTATATTATATATAACTATCTTAGTGACTTATTATTTTAGTGACTTATCTTTCTTCAAATTATCCCACAGATTGACATGTGATAAATCTGGCGCGGTGGCACATGCCTGTAATCCCAATGGCTCAAGAGGCTGAGACAGGAGGATTGCAGTGAGTTCAAAGCCAGCCTCAGCAATAGCGAGGTGCTAATAAGCAATTCAGTGAGACCCTGTCTCTAAATAAAATACAAAAATAGGATGGGAAGGTGGCTCAGTGGTTGAATGCCCAAGTTCAATCCTCCTTACTACCCCCCCCCCAAATTATGTGATAAAGGCAAGGAACAAAGGACAAAATTATTTAACTTTAGTTATCACTACAGAAATCTTTTTTAAAATTTCTTTTTTAGTTGTARCTGGACACAATACCTTTATTTTATTTATTTATTTTTATGTGGTGCTGAGGATTGAACCCAGAGCCACRCATGTGCCAGGCAAGTACTCTATAGCTGAGCCCCCAGCCCCAGCCCCAACTACAGAAATCTTAAGAGAATAAAATGGTGCCAAGAATGTACTTAAAGACAGAACAACTGACTAGTATGTGTGAGGCCCTGCGTTCGATCTCCTGCACTGAAAAAAAAGGTGGGGGTGGGGGTATAAGATGTCTTCAAAATTATTATTATAATTTTTTTAGATATAAGTAATGTATATGTAAAATGCTGAGCACACTGCCTAGCAAGTAGTTATTAACAATTGCTAAATTTAAAACACATGACAAAATGACTAAATAGCTTTTTCTATATGTATTATTTTAAATTTATTTTGGTAAACTGTGTAGTTTTGTTAAATTTTGTAAATTTTCCCACTACTAGATCTCTAAGTTAGATATAAGAAAGATACAACTCCATCTAACTTTAAACACAAAAACAAAGAGTTAGAAACCAAAAGTTTCAAAAATCCCTAAGGCAATAACACCAAGACCTTGCCCAACACCTTCTCTGATATAAAAAGATTTTCAAAATTTTAAACAGTAGCAAATTTATAATATTAAGATGTGATTTGGAGTTAAGGTCTTGCACAATGTAAATAAACACGGTAGCTAAATATTGTACCTTCCTCTGCTCTTGCACCTTCATGATCAGTCATTCTAGTAGAGGCTGACCTAGACTGATTAATGTTTCCTGAAGGGATGTGGGGCAGCTCATCATCTCCCAGATCAGCTATCATGTCGCAGAGTTTTGTTCTGTTGACCCCTGTAAATTAACGTCAGCAGTATAGGTTCATTTAATGGCTACCGCTTGACTTGCTAAYAGCCTTTAGTAAACCAATTTGCTAACAGAATAGGCTATCAGAAGTCCCAGTTTTTAAAATATCATGTAATTAAAGATATCTTCAATTTTCTATACCACCCCTTCAAGAACACATGAAGAGTTTAATTACTCATTATTCTTTTGATATTTGTGTATTTTATATATATATATATCCACTGTATACTTTAAACATACAATTGGGGGTGGGGGGTTGTTACCGAACCCAAGTTCTGTAAGCTCAGACTCAGAAGATGCCATTAAAACAAGGAAAAATTTGCTGTTTAGATTAATGCTTACTTGTGTAAAGATTAAAACATGAACTTTTCAACTAAATTCATTATTTTWAAAAATTAAAGAAATAATCACAAATTATTTTTATGAGGGCGCAACAAACAATTAACTTTACCTGGTGTTTCCACAGGTATTTTCCTGCCACATTAGTGTAAATTTGTCACTAACAAATTAATCCCAATTTSTCTTAAAAATTTTTTTTCACTTTTTCCAGATTTGAAAACACTGATTTACCTGTGAGCTCTCTGAGCTTATTGTAATGGTACAAAACATCAGCATTTTCAGATACCATAAATTTAAGAGACTTTTTAGCTACTATCTGTATAATTCAGGCTAAAACATAAAAAAACCCCAAATCTGCTGCTGTATTGTGGAATAGTCTTTACTTTTAACTTGGAACTTCAGAATGAAATAATCATTTATTTTTAAGCATGTATTTTAAAAGAAAGTTTAGTTTTAAGAATGTCAGAATATATTTGGAAAGTCAACAAAAATACTTTAATCAATAAAAACAATTTAAATAGGCAAAAGCAAGGTCAAAAATATATGACCTCACATTCACTAACTAATGTCAACATTAATAAACTGAAATTAAGAGTGCTTTATGATTATTAAACTCATTGTGGGTATCTACATATTAGTAACTCTATAGGAAATATCATTTATCTATGTATTCCTAACAGAATGACAGGCAATGAGATGGTAAGACTTAATGGAAATAAGTGTAATCTGACACATTTATTCAACTATTCCTAACTTCTTAAAAGTATTTATACAACTCAACTTCTAGGTACGTAAATATTATGTAGTCTAAATGTTCTAAAATAATTATAACTGAGAAATCTGGGTGTTACTGGAGGATTTTCCCATGGCCAGTGAAATGATAATAAACAAATTCTCTAATAAATGAAAAAAAGGTAAAGTGGATGTACAACTATCACTTAAATTCAATGTGAAAAAATAAACATGTTTCCTCACAAATATCTCCCCTTTCTAACTTACCAACTAGTATAATAATTACCACCACTAACTTAGTTTCTGTACTTAAAATTCTGCAATTGAATCTTAACAATCCTAAAATTTGTAAAATAAGTGGGGAACCAAAACTGTTTTTAAAAAGAATCCTTTAAAGTATTCTTCAAGCTAATCTCTTTCTACTGAGTTTAATCTAATCAGGGCTTTCATTCTTATAGATTACTACAACAAACTCTCAAATTTTCCCCCTCTAAAGCTCCAATTGCCTTCAATCAAATTTGAATACAACAAAATTAATTTTTCCAAAATCTTCATATTTACTGTATCACCCCTTGTTCTGAAAACACAGATGATACTTCAATACTCTTTGGATTAAGGTTAACTAAAATCTTGTACTTTGCAAAGTTCATAATCTGATCTGATTTTTTTCTATCCAATCTTATCTTTTAATGATCTATAATCCGCTAATTTTCCACAGTCAAAGCAATTCCTATATAGTACAATGTTCACCGAAGTTATTTCTGCCATAGTATGTCCTATCTGTCTTCACCTATTATTCACAAAGGTAAATAATTCACACATCCTCCCTCCCTCTCTCTCTCTCTCTCTCTCCCTCCCTCTCTCTCTCTCTCTCTCTCTCTCTCTCTCACACACACACACACACACACACACACACCTTCTAACATGCACCTTGGCCTATTCAAATCTACTCATTTCTCCAAACTAACATTTACTCTGTAAATATTTTGTTGATCTCTCTCTGCTCACTTTTATTATACTTGTACATACCTTAAAATTTGACTTACACATAATTTCATCTTATGAACACTGATATAAAAAATAAAGACTTGAGATAAGAATTCTTTTGCTATATACTATGTGAAGTAATGATCATTTAGTACACATAGACTTGGAAATATAGAAGGGTAGGAAAGTAAAAGACAATATGAAGGTCATTGTTTCTTTCTTTCTCTCTCTCTCTTTCTCTTTCTTTCTTATTTTTGGTTTGTACTATAGCTTGAACCAAAGACCCTGAATACATGCTAGCCCAAGCACTGAGCTACATTCCCAGCCTTTTTTTTTTTGAGACAGGGTCTCACTAAATTGCTGAGCCCTCAAACTTGAGATCCTCCTGCATCAGGCTCACAAATTGCTGGGATTACAGGCATGCACAACTGCATGTGGTGAAAGTCACCAGTCACCGTTCACATTCAGGATCCCAAATTATATCATTATTGTTATTTGTATATGACAGCCAAACATTCAATTGAAACTTCTCTACTCCAATTCTAGCTTCTCAAAAGCTGTCAAAAGATGAAAGCAATTTCATAACCAGAAATCTACTGTATAAACCATCTTTCAATTGCAAATTTAATGTCTTCATTTGCTTTCTAAAATTATGCAATATTTTAAATATAAATATTAAACAATTTCATATAAAAATCTGAAATATAATTAGCAGTAATGAGAAACTTATAATAGTATTAATGTAACAGAATGTTACACATATTAAACCAATATTTAAAGGCATACTGGAAGACTAAGGATTAAATAAAAGCCAGTTCTCAACTGCTGCTAGAATTTATGAGAAAAATTTTTATAGCAAGAAAGACTTTGAATTACAAAAAATACAAATACATCTTAATCGTGACTTCCAAGTCCTATATAAACATACATCTTTTAGATTGCAGTAAAATGAGGACACTGATTATGTCCACATGCAAGCCAAACTATACTATTGCATTATGTTAGTGTTTTTAAATTCACACAAACTTGTGACATGAAATTTATCTTCCTATATACTCTATTACCATAAGTAAAATAGTACTTGTTACTAATCTAATGTTTTTTCTTTCTCAAATATGTACTCTGCTTGTCAACTACCCTTATATTCTGAAGCAAAACCAATATGAAAGAGATAAGCTAAAAATAAGCTTATATGCTAGATCTGTTCTAGTTTCTATCATTATAATTAAATATTTCATATGACAACTATCTTAAATAATTATGCCACCTGAATGTTAAGGAAAAATAACTTTGAGCTGCAAAATGATTCTGTGGTTTTAAAAAATGCAGTGACTGAAAGCATCTTTCTAACTCTAGGCAAAAATACCTAGAATAAGATATTTCTTTGAAAAAGGGAGGGAAAGAGGGATTGGTTCATTTTACAAGTGTGAAATTAAAATCAGAAACAGAAAACAGCCGCATCCCTTAGTTGAAATCCTTTGCTACATAACAATTTTCTTTTTGTCTTTAATTTGATGCAAGAGAGAATATAGCACATTTTATGTGTTTTTGGAATTTATACTGCAGGCTGAGTATCTCTTATTGGAAATGCTTGGAACCAAGCATCAGAAGTGTTTCAGATTTCAGAGTTTTTAAAAATTTCTGAATATTTGCATTGATTTTTACCAGTCAAGCATCCTAATCTTAAAATTCAAAATCTAAATGCTCCAAAATCCAAAACTTTGTTTCTGATTTTGGAACATTCTGGATTGCAGATTTTTGGATTAGGAATGCTCAAGCTGTATCTGCTGAAAATAAGCAGGTTTTTTTTCTTTTTAAAAATCACAAATATCATATAGCATGTGCAAGGTGCTTCTGAAAGCTACTGAAAATTACTGTTAAAAATTAACTTCTTCATAAATGTACTGAAAATGCCTAGTTTGAGATACTTAGACTGCAGTTACACTTTAAAATCTGTTATCTTGGATCTGGATCAGTAAATCACAATTACTACTACAAAGCTCAAAAAATGAAAACTAACAAATGATCCAGAGAAGCTCACATAGTTTATATTTAAAAGAAATATAGACTACAAAGCTCAAAAAAAATGAAAACTAGAAAATGATCCAGAGAAGCTCACATAGTTTATATTTAAAAGAAATATAGAAAAAGATAAAAGACTACCATTTTCCAGTAATGTTATTTTAAGTCAGAAAATGTACAGCAATCCTGTAACATCAATAAAGAAAGAAAATAATATTCTACACACAGAAAAGATAGGAAAGTTAGTATACATGAAAATAATTAGAAAAATTAAGACAAGTCCATCTATGAAGAGGCAGAAACTGCAAACACATTCTCAGAATGTGAATCCTTAAAATGGAGAAAGGCTTCAGATCTTCTGAAGAAAGAAAATGAAATAGTTTTGTCTTCTTGATGAGCCTAATTTTATAAGTATAATATAGCATAGGAGTCACAATAGGATATAAAAATAAGGGCACCTATCAAAGAAAAAAAGGTCATTGCAATGCACAGTTTAAACTTTTTATGTTCAAAATCAGAAATACCAAAAAAAAAAAAAAATCTTTTAAAGCTTTAGCACATATTTCATTCTAAATAAAGACCCCCAGATTTCAGATGCTTCACACTTAATTCAGATGCTATACTCTATGTGATTTTTAATCACTATTAATTTACATGTCCTATAAAAATATAGCAAAAATGGAGGGGGGGGCGGAGATAGAAATAATCCAATCAGTACAAGATTTTAACAAAACATGAAGCACTTTCCCTCACACTTCCATTCCCAAATTATAGAACATTTATTAAAAAGTCGAAGAAAATTATTTCTTTAATTTTCATCTGCCTGTCAGAGATTCTAGGATTTGGTACCATCCACAGTTTCAGGCAACCACTGAGGATATATTGCATTTCTTTAATTTTCATCTGCA